AAAAAAAAAAAAAAAAAAAAAGAAAGTCAGGCAAGTACAAGACTCTGAGTGAAGCCCTGGAACTGGTAGAAGCAAAGCAAAGCAAAGCAAAACAAAATCATGGAAGTGGTGCTGTGGCTCAAAGTTGTGCAACACTAGCCTTGAACAGAAGAGCTCAGAGATAGCACCCAGGAACAGAGTTCAAGCCCCATGACCGACAAAATAAATAAACACATACATACATACATACATACATAAAGCAAGCAGACACAAGAGCTTACAAAATTCTCTTCGTACAAAAAGCTGGCATAAATATATAAGACTTTGTTTTAAATTTATGCTTAGCTGGCAAGAAAACTGGGTAAGTCTTCAGTGATTCAAAACCATGAGGAACACATCTGCCCAATGGATCAGCAGAAAGCTGTGCATTTTAAAGGGAAAATCTTGCTAAGGATGTTAGAACTAAGAGATCCAAACTAAATTAAGGCGCCTGTAAGGTTGGCTCAACTTAGATTTCAACTGGAGAAGAAAAGTATCCCTCAAGAATTCATTATTATAGGCCAGTCAACCTTTAGACTTTGACTGCACATTACCAGGATGGTCGCAAAACTCCAAGTAAAAATTAACAGCCACAGTATGAGTTTTCATTTATACTCATTGAGGGAATGGGGGAAGGGAGGAGGGAAAAAACAGTGGAAAAAAAGGGCAGTTGCTGGGCGCTGGTGGCTCACGCCTGTAATCCTAGCTACTCAGGAGGCTGAGATCTGAGGGTCGTGATTCAAAGCCAGCCCGGGCAGGAAAGACCATGAGACTCCTATCTCCAATAAACCACCAGAAAACCGGAAGTGGTGCTGTAGCTCAAGTGGTAGAGCGCTCGCCTTGAGCTGAAGAGCTGAGGGACAGCGCCCAGGCCCAGAGTTCAAGCCCCACGACCGACAAAAAAAAAAAAGGGCAGTCATAAGAACTCAAAAAACTAGCCGAGGACTGGGAAGGTGGCTCAGTGGTAGAGTGCTTGTGAGGGCCTGGATTCGATTCCTTAGCACCACATTAGCAGAAAAAACAGGAAGTGGTGCTGTGGCTCAAGTGGTAGGGCACTAGCCTTCAGCTGAAGAACAGAGGGAGAGTGTCCAGGCCCAGAATTCAGGATCCACGACCGGCAAAAAACCCACAAAAAACAAAAACAACAACAACAAAAAAGTGCTGATTGCTCACACTTGTAATCCTACCTACTCAGGAGGCTGAGATCTGCAGACCGTGGTTCAAAGCCAGCTTGGTCAGGAAAGTCCATGATATCTCCAGTTAACCACTAGAAAACTGGAAGTGGAACTGTGGCTCAAAGTGGTAGAGTGCTAGCCTTGAGCAAAAGAGCTCAGGGACAAAGCCCAGGCCCTGAGTTCAAGGCACACAACTGACCCCAAAAAAGCACTAGGGATGGGCTAGCATGTAGCTTAGTGATAAAACACTTGCATAACATATACAATGCATATGCTTTTAATTGAAAAACAGAACAATTCTGAACTTGAGTGCACCTCACAAGAAAGATTTAAGTATATACAGAAAATTTCCAAATAACTACAAAATGCAATTGACAAATCATCAACCCACTGGGCGTTTTAAACATAGTTAATACAAAACTATAACCCCTCTGTATATCACCTTTATGATAACAATAAAAAAATCTTAAATAGCTAATATGATCACATAGTTCAAAAATAAGTTTAAGACTGGGCATTGTGGTACAAGCCTGTAATCCCAGAACTAAGGGGGCTAAAACAGGTTCAAGGCCGGCCTATTATACAGCAAGATTATCTCAAAAAAAGAATTTAAACATATCTACAGACCCTCGTTATCCATCTGGCTCAGCTCTCTCCCACCCTACATATTTTGGACATATTTTCAGTGATTCTTCATGCTAAAACTAGCAAATGCAAATACATACAATTATGCTCTGGTCTTTCGTCTATAAGTTATAGCAAACTGATGTACACAGTTGTACAGCTTGACTGTTTCATTTACTAGTATACATTTTGTGATCTTTCCCAACATGGAACATATCTTCACTCACTTACTAGTATTAATAGTAGTATTCTACTTGTCAGCAAACCATTTTTCAAATTTGGGACACCTATACTATTTTATTTTATTTTTGGTGGGTCATGAGGCTTGAACTCTGGGCCTTGGTGCTGTCCCTGGGCTCTTCAGCTCAAGGTGAGCACTCTCCCACTTGAGCCACAGCACCACTTCCAATTTTCTGGTGGTTTATTGGAGAGAAGAGTCTTGTGGACTTTCCTGCCTGGGCTGGCTTTGAACCATGATCCTCAGATCTCGGCTTCTGAGAAGCTAGGATTACAGGTGTGAGCCTCTGGCACACAGCCACTATTTTGTTTTAATGTTGTTTTGTCTTTTCTTTTCTTTGTTTTGGTACTGGGGATCGAACCCAGCACGTTGCACTTGCTAGGCAAGTGCTTTGCCACTGAGCTACATCCCAGCCCTTGATGATGTTTTGAATGAATGCTTTAGTAAGTAACTTTTTCTCAATTTTTTTATCCCTATGCCTCAAAAGTGATAGGCATGAGCTCTACCACTGACACTGTCAGTCCATAAGTAACTTTATGCACGTATTATTTTATACAAAATAAAACTTCAGGATAAGTTCCTGAAGTTTTGCTGCACCAAAACATGTAATTTTAATTTTGACAAATATTGCCAAACATGCGCCATGTGATGATATCTATTCCAACTTGAAAATGTACAAGACTGTTTGTGCCATAATAGCCCAGTAGTAGAGTGCTTGCCTAGCATGCATGAAGCCCTGGGTTCAATTCCTCAGTATCCACATAAACAGAAAAAGCCAGAAGTGGTGCTGTGGCTCAAGTGGTAGAGTCCTAGCCTTGAGCAAAAGAAGCTCAGGGACAGGCCCTGAGTTCAAGACTCATGACTAGCAAAAAACAAAACAAAAACAAAACAAAAAAACTTTGTTTCATACAAGTGGTTCATATACACAATACTAACTTAAAAATACAGTGGCACATTCATTTCAGTATTTTTTAAGTTAATAGTAAAAATGTTTCTTTCTTCTTTAAACTATTTTTTTGGTTCATATACAAGTATAGCTTCCCTACTGATTCTACTACTATGACTATACCAGCCTTACCCAATTTTTTTTTTTTTTTTTTTTCGGTCGTGGGGCTTGAACTCTGGGCCTGGGCGCTGTCCCTGTGCTCTTCAGCTCAAGGCGAGTGCTCTACTACTTGAGCTACAGCGCCACTTCGGTTTTCTGGTGGTTTATTGGAGATAGGAGTCTCATGGTCTTTCCTGCCCAGGCTGGCTTTGAACCGCGATCCTCAGATCTCAGCCTCCTGAGTTGCTAGGATTACAGATGTGAGCCACCAGCGCCCAGCACCCAAAATTTTTATCTAGTCATTTTTTGCCAATCTCTAATACTAAAGGATAGAAGAAACTGAAAGTTGGCACCAATTCTAAGAGAATTCTCAATTCTTCCTGCTTTCTTTTTTTGAGGGGAATAGCTCTTAGACTCCATCCCAAGCTACTTCTTTCTTTCATTAATGTGGTTTGCTATGGTCTGAATTGGTATCTCTACCACTGCTGTACTTTACTATCTTCAGTAAACACAAACTGTGATTTTAAAGAACAGAACTTTGTATTAAAAATTAATATCCTGACAACTAAGAAAATGGTATAATACCACATTACTTCATGATTACATTCCAAACAGGTAAACCTATTTTACACTGATTATGAGTTAACCTAGAAAGATATCCTTTCTCAAGCTCGGAAAGGAGTTCATTCTTTTCAAACCTTCATTCTCTTCTGATAAACACATGTATCCCCTGAGTATATTAACCAAATGTAAAACAGTTTAATAATGAACTTTTTTTTTTCAAATACACAGCTTTCCCAGATTCTGATATCTGCCCTGTACATAACTGTTGTTTTTCTTGTTGTTTTAGAGATTTTTATTTGTTTTGGTATGCCAATATTGAGGCTTGAACTCAGGTTCTAGATGCTATCCCTTAGCTTTCTCACTCAAGGCTGATATTCTGCTCATGAACCACACCCCCATGTGCACTTTTGCTGGTTAACTGGATATAACAGTCTCTTGGGTTTGTCTGTCCAACCTGTATTGCAACTGGGATCCTTAGAGCTAAGCCTCCTGAGTGGCTAGGATTACAAGGGTAAGCCACCAGTCACCAGCTGAGAATTGTGGATTATAGATGAAAATTTATAACAACTTTCAAGAACAGAGGAAAGAAAGAGAGAGAGAGAAAGAAAGAAAGAAAGGAAGAAAGAAAGGAAGGACGGACAAAAGAAAGAAAGGGAGGGAGGGAAGGAGGGAAGGAGGGAGGAAGAGGGGGGAAGGAAGGGGGAGGGGAAGGAAGGAAGGAAGGAAGGAAGGAAGGAAGGAAGGAAGGAAGGAAGGAAGGAAG